GTTTTGTTGACGCCGGCGGGGGGGGGGGGGGGGGGGGGGGGGGGGGGGGGGGGGGGGGCAAACCTATCCCCATGTCACCAGTGGCTCCATGCGGCCACCCCACCTTGTCCCCATGCTGGGGGACCTGCTGCAGGTGATGCTCCCCATCCCTTCCCAGCTGCAGGAGGAGAGCAGAGGGGCTTCATCAGGGTGGGGGACGCAGCAGCAGGAGGGATGGGGATGCTCCCAGGGCCCCTGGCCCCTTTTGCTGTTTTAGGTAAACACCGGCAAGCCGGTTTGCTCGCCACAAGAATGCGTCCTGAAGCACACGGTGGCGGCCAGCACCCCGAAACCCTGGTGATTTGCCCCTTCCTCCGTCGTGAGTCAGGCGGCAGCGGCTGCCCCAGGCCGGCACGGCACCGCGCGCAGCCTGTACTTTGGGCAATTTGGGATGACGAAGCGGGGACGCGGCGCGTGGGGCTCTGATTGCAGGGTTGGGGGCTGCAGTGCTTCGCCTGCCCCGTCTCACCCCATCCCTGCTGCAGTAGTGCCTACTCCAGGGGTATCCCCACTGCCCCATGCACCTGCCTGGGGTATCCCCCTCTTCCTCTGCCCCACATCCCTACCTGGGGGTATCTCCCCCTGCCCCACACCCCTATCTCGGGTATCCCCATTGCCCCACAGCCCTACCCGGCGTGTCCCCCTGCCCCACACCCCTGCATGGGGTATCCCCATTGCCCCACGCCCCTGCCTGCGGTATCCTCCTGCCCCACATCCCTGCCTGTGGAATAACCCTGCCCCTACCCCTGCCCCATAGCGCTGCCCGGTGTACCTCCCTGCCCCACAGCCCCTGCGGCCGTGTGTGTCTGTGCTGTGGGTGCACGTGCTGGTGTATCTGCAGCCGTGTGTGCGCTCTGAGGTGTGCGTGTGTGCACCCGTACCACCATCGTGTGCCTGTTCGCCTCCGTCTGTGTGCATGTGTCTGTCTGTGTGTCTGTCTGTCTGTCTGTCTGCGCGTGCAGCTGCGTGTCCGGGTGTCCCTGCCGGCAGAGGGGGTGTGAGTTTGTGTGTGTGTGCGCGCGCACGTGCATCTGTGCGCCTGTGCGCACCCGCACCCCAGGGCCGCTGGCACAGCCCTGCCTGAGGTGTGCGCTGCCGGCACCCCTGCCTGCGGACCTGGGGGGCCCTCGGCCAGCCCAGACCCCGCTCTGTTTGGGGGTGGCAGTGTAGTGCCAGCGGCACCCCGGCAGGCCTGGCCCTGTACCCACCGTCACCTGCCGGCAGCACTGGCATCATGGGCACCCCAAGGTGCCCCCGAGGGCCGGGACACCCAGCACCCCCCAGCAGCAAGGGCACAAGGCCCTGGGGTGCTGCTGCATGGGCTCCCCCTCAGCACCACGTACAGGGTCACCCCTGGATACCCCCACAGCCACCGACCCTGGCTGGCTGTGGGGGGGCTTGGGGTGCCCTTGGGGGGGGTGATCAGGGTACAATGGGGTGGCAGAAGCCCACCTGGCCAGACACAGGGTATTTTGGGGATGCCACGGGTTGGCAGAGGCTAACCTGGCTGGATACGGGGTGTCACAGGGTGGTGGAGGTCAGATACAGGGTGCTGCAAGGGGCTGGAGGCCAATCCGGGTGGATACACAGGTGACACGGGGTGACAACAGCTGGCCCAGCCAGATATGGGGTGTCAGGGTGCTGTGGGGTGGCAGAGGCTGACCCCACTGGCTATGGAGGTTCAGGGTGCTGCAGGGCAGCAGAAGCTGACCCAGCCAGATACGGGGTTTCAGGGCACTGTGGGACATCCGAAGCCGATGGCTCTGGCTATGGGGTGTCGGGGTGCTGCGGGGTACAGCCAGGCAGACGCGGGGCTCCCCGCCTCGGGTGCCCGAGCAGGGAGGGATCTCTCCGCAGCACCGGCTGCCAGCATCCTGCCGCGCTCTTGAGTAGTTAATAAGTTGTAAGGGAGATTTCGGCACAGGCAGGGAACAGGCAGGAGCAAGCCCGTGTCCGGCAGGGACCGGCGACCGCATTCCTGGGGTGGGGGGGTGTGCTGGAAATGCCAGCACTGCCACTGGCATGCAAGGGTGGGGGTACGGGTGATGGGGTACACACG